AATCCCTAACGTTCTGTGATTCTGTGATGACAGTCCTCCATGTGGTTGCTCACTGCATAATGGTTTTTGTTTCAACTATGAAGGAGTACACTTGGATAAGAGCAGGCCTTCAACTTTCTTTACCCTCATCCAACAGCTACTTAATGCTCTTTCCCATACTAGAAATGTTACTTAATCTCCAGCTTGAAGCAAAGTACTTCTTTTCTAACTTGGGGGTTAATTGTGAAACTTTAGGTATGGAGCGGAGGACCCTGATGCAGTCTGCACTTTCATTGAAACACTGTCTTCAGCCTGGTCAGCAGGCTTCAGACCATGAGGAGCCTGTTGGAACAGAAGCTCTGGAAGAAATAGTTCATGCTTCAGAAGTGCTTATGAGCTACCTATCTTAATCAATCTGGAGAATGTATCTATTATGTATGGTCTTTAGAAGGTAAGCCACTTCTTATTAAACATTCTGATTTCATGCCTATCCAATTTCAAGCAGGCGCTTACAGAAGATGATAACATTAGATATTTAGAAAGACTTCAGAAAAATGATTTTTAAAGACTGTGTGTGTCTGGACTCACCTGAAAAATGAGCTGGTTTAGAAAGTTTGATCTGAACCATCCCAATAATGTAAAATATTAATAGATGCATTTTCAAACCTTTATATTCTTGAAAGATATATGATGTTTGATATTAATGATGCCATTTTGTCCTAGCTATTGCCTTTTTAAAATTATTTTTGAAGTACGAAACATAAAAAATACCTGAGCATACAATTTCTTTTTAAGGATTGTTTGATGCTAACATTAACTAAAAAAGTTGTGTGGGTGAGGTGTGACCTTAACTGTGCCTTGAAATACTTCAAGTGACATAAAACACCCTGAGCAGTATGCGGTCAGCAGGAAGAAGCGAAGGTTTTCCACAGCAAAACAAACTGGATTTACAGTGTCCTTCAGAGCACAGGCGTGACCTTCAAAACGCATGGGGTTTTTTCCAAAATTATACATGAAAACCAAGAACAACACCGGATATTATTGAAAAGTCTGTGCCATGGAAATACCGATGCTACTGGGTCAAGGTACTCAGATGCTACGCTGCTGTATGAGTCCAGCCACGCTGCTACATTATTTTTCAGTGCTAAATGTAGCATTGGGGTTAGTTATATTAACATTAGCCGTATTGGAGGTTTTCTGGTTTTGTTTTTGGTTTTGTTTGTTTTTTTTCTTCTTTATTTAGACTATAAAAAACAATACTTAAAAATTCCAAGTATTTACTCTCGTAGGAAATCTGTTTTTTTCAACCCTGAACAGTATATATGTACGTATATGTCACTATGCAAAGTGAGATTCTATAATGAATTCACCCAGAAAAGCTCTTGTAAGTCTTCAAGACTCTTCTGCACTATAATGCAGTTTGGGGAGTGATAATTTGTATATTGTTTTCTTAAAAAAAAACAACACAGAAACATGCTCTTAATTTTTAAATCTCAAAATAGCCTTACCCCAGTTGATTTATTGCTTGTAGAAGATTTATCTCTGGCCAAATGCACTAAAGATAACAAGCATCTCTCTGGAGTCCCTTGCTTGTCAACTGCAGCTTCTTCATCACTATCCATACTACGACTTAGAAGTCGTTCATTCTCGGAAGATGCATCATTTTCACTGTAAAATGAACGATATGGTTATCTTAGTGAAGCCTCTCATGGGTTGACTCCAGTCATCTCCTTTTTCCTATCCTAAAGTAATGGAATAAAAGTGTCTTCCATTTTTTAAAATGCCCTTCCTCTGAAACTGCATTCACATGTCTAAGGTGTAGATACAATTCCCACCAAGTTACATGGTCACGCATAGCTTACAAGAATCCTTTTACAGAGGGATTTTCCAACCGAGGACAGTGTTTAGCCTACCTTACTCGTGTTACCCAGACAGGTTTGGCCACCAGGCAGCCACAAGGTGGCTAAACTACCACACAGTGCCATCCAGATGATGCTACAGACATGGAATTTCCTTGAGGCCTGGAGCAGCTATTTTCACTCCTCCTGCCTAAAGTGAAGGAGAGTCGTACTAAATGCATGTGTGCAAAAGCAGCACTCAGGTCCCAAAAATGGACCTTGCAAAAGAGGAGATGGAGCCCCAAGAGCTGATGAACTGGTCATGGAGGGAGTGGGAAGGGCACAGGTTTCTCTTGGTAACATCTGTCACCCTCTCTTAGAAACTGGAGGAGGAAAAGCCTCCTAAGGCATCCAGTCTTTTCCCTGCTGCAGCAGACTACCAGCACACCCATCGAATTTGTTGTGTATTCCCCTGTACCAGGATGGGGACTATGGCCCTTCCCCACTTCAGTCAAATGGGAAGTATGTTTATTTTTTACCCACCTTTTCACAGCCTTAGCTGGAGTTGCCGTAAGTTTTTCAAACTCTTCTTTCTCAGAGAATATCACGACATTATCTGCAGATTAACAATTGGAGAAATTTAAATTGGCAATGAGTTTCTAAACCGGTGTTTTGTCTCAGGAGGTGCTTCTGCTGGCAACCTTACTGCAAATATAAGTCTCTCTGCTACCTTTTTAATTGCTATCAGAGGATTAAGTGACATTCTGGAAGTCCAAAAGCTATTATGCTAATTCTGTAGTAAACTGACATGGATTTTATACAACTCAAAGGAGGAACTGTAATTAAGAGAAATGCATTAAGAGAATTTAAGCCCAATGTTGTCTTGGTCAGAAAAAGCAAAACTAAAGCAACTCATACCTTGCACTTCTTTCTTCTCTTCTTGGGTGTTAGCCTGAGCTTCAACATTTTTTACTGAGTGGCTCTTGCAGCAGGCTAGAATATAAAAATATACCATTAATTATTCTCAGAAGCTGTCTAAAAATAGCACTTGCAGCTAAAATTTCATGTGCTGAACAATTACCTTGAGCAGAAGGTTTTGTTTTCACAATGTAAAACATGATGATGAGGACAATGGCAATAGCCATTATGAAGATGGTAGACATTGCAATTATAAGGGCTGTAGCCAGATGTCCTTGTCCTGAAAGATCTGCTGGAATAAACAAAAATATTTTCATAAAGGAGCAGCTCTTAAGATCAGAGAACAGTTAACACTTTCTGGTCTGCTCTACACTTACATTTTGCACACTCAGTTGATTTGAGTCTTAGTTACTCATTAAGCACTGAAAAACTTAGTGTTACATCTCAAAGGCAAACTAATAAACAGTTTTTCAAAACTGTGACATTTATTCTGCAATTACCAGTTAACAGTATTCATAAAAATATTTGATGACATGATCCATCGGATACAAAGGTGCAGGAAATTGTATTATCTGCTAATAATACGGGAAGATATATGCAAGCAAGAGTAGCAGCTTCCCTAACACTGTATTCTGGGAAAGAACATAGAAAAGGAAAAAAAACCCAACAAACCAAACACAAAAAACCCCAACCAGGATGAGAGCTAAAATGACTGTTGATAACTACGTCTGTCTCAAAAGCTTTGCAGTAAAAAGGAGAGCACAATGCCCATGCAGAAGGACCAATGTTTTTCTAACAGAGACTTAAACCAGCATGGCTGGAAAGTTAATTTAAAATAAGGTACATGAAAAAGTATTCAGAAGCAGAACTTGAATGCAGCAGACTAGAACTGAAAAGCCACAAAAGGATGCAGAAAATGAGAGATATGCTAAAATGCATGAAAACTTTAAATTTTCTGAATTATATGTGTCCCTATTTGTTCACCAAAGTTGCCAGTTAATATGGTTGTCTGTACAATTGTTCCTCTGAGTCATTGTTGTGACTCGACCCACTCCACAGCACTGCTGGGCAGGTACGTGGGCTTTCGGGGAATTCAAAAGATTCACCCCCCTCGTAACCCACCATGTGGGGTCAGACAACATGATCCTCACAATCATGTTTCCAGACAATACCAGGAAGATCAGCATTGTCAGTATCTCATGAACTGCATCTTTCCTGTTGTGTCTTCTCAGGTTCACATATTTTTAAAATCTAATAATTTGGCTGGAGAACTGCTTATGTTAGCTCAATAAGAGACTGGCCATATTTGTGCACTACATTATTTTCACCAGTCTAAGCTAAGCTTTTCTGAGGCACAGTGCCATTTCTGTATGGCTACAAATAATGAGCTGAATTTGTTGCTGGCATTACTGAGTACAGTTTAAATCCATTTTAAGTCCATCTGACTAAAGCAGCAGTGTTGATTAACCAAGAAATAAAAAATTGTTCTGAATTATTTTTAATAGCAGTTTTAGAAATCTGCAAATAGTGGCAAAGAAACTCACAATAGATATTTTTAGTTCAGCTGCCCTTTGTTGATGCTATTTTCAGAACCAGCAGCTGCTAAATTAAATCTGTGAATGCATTCTTACCTTTGTGAGCATGCTGGTAAGGCGAGAAAGTGCTTGTGCCAGAGGTACTTGGGAAAATGGCTGAAATGCCAGAGGAAGCCCCCACACCTGCAATACAAACAGAAATGCCATAAACTTCCATGGTTACTATGTCCACTCACAGCAATAGCTTGGCCCAAGTAAACAGAGCCTTTGCTTAGCTTGACTGCATTTCTAATATGTTGAAAATTGCATTACAGACTACATTTTTGCATGGCACCTGGAGGGAGTGGAAGAAGTCAAAGTTCCTGAACAGCTACGAGCTTAGAATAAACCCAAGCATCTTCAGACACAGACAACTGTTACATATGGATTCCCACATTACCGATCTGTCCTGGATAGCTGTAAGTTTTCCAGGATCCGGTTGATAACGCAAACCATTTACAACCCCCACTCTGTTATTTGCAACCGCAGGCCCCCAAGTCCCAGCTAGCAGATTCATCAAATCGGTGCTCCCCACAAGCATCCTTCACCAGCAGGATCACTGCGAAACTCTGACAGTGTGCAAACCCTCATGACCCCACGAGGAAACCTAGGAAAGGTGACAAACACCACTGCTGAATGCTTCCCTGTTCCATGGAGCTGTATCATCCTAAAAGCGAATATTTCAATAGAATTTCCTGTAATCTATCTGGGCAGTATGTTTCTTATTACTCTCCCTGTCAGCCCAAGTCTATATTCTGGGAAGGGGGGAAATCCACAAAAACAGTGAAATGAAGAACTTAAAGGAATATTTCATGCTGGCAGAGCAGTGAGATTGTCCAATAGGGGTTTCCATGTCTAAATTCTACAGTTACGTTTAAAACCTCTTTAAAAATTTTAATCTTTCAGATGGTGTCATACACCAAGTTTTCAAAAAGTAAACCAAATTATAAATTAACATAATTTGACAATACCAGACAATACTGGATATTATTAGGAACAAGGCTGTTGATGGTAATGCTTTCATACAGGATGGTGTTGGCATAGCATTCCAATACAGAATAAAAACTTCAGGACTGGGAGAAAACATGCTCTTCATTCTCAAATAAGCATCAATGTCACTGGTAAGCAGGTTACAGCTACTGTCAACAGACGCTGAAAAAATGGCTTCTGGCTTGGAGCAGGGAATAAAATCCCTCCTGCTTTGTAGTAGCTGTCTATGGAAAAAGTCCAGTGATAGTTAAATTCAGCACACCTAAAAGCAAAAGACTGTCCCAGTCATCTAGTGAGGTGCACACAGCACAGGACTCCACAGGCTCGTTCTAAACGTGCTGTTCTTTTGACCTAGTAAATACTATGAGAAATTAAACCCACCAGGTAAACTTGACAGGAAATTAAGTGGTCTGGAGTTGTCTGAGAAATGTTCCCTGGTTAAGAACAAAGCTATATACATGCTCTTCAAATTAAGAGAAATGTTTTCTAAAAAGGAAAAACAAAAAATTATTACCTAACATAAAACACAGCAGCACATAGTGAATGAGAAATGAACTCTCTTAAAGTGGCCACAAAGTATGAGTTGCAGATGTCTCCAAAATGAATTTTGTTTAACAATGGCAAAACATCTTTCAAACCTCATTTGTTGGAAGGAAATGGATTCATTTATTCTAATAGTGGGGGGTTTTTTTCAAACTGAAGAAGTGTTTTTATGAAGTTTTAAATATACTAATTTGTTAATTCAGATGCTTTTCATATTATGCAAATGACAGGCAGATTACATAAGTCTTGCCTCTGGTCCCTTCTCTGTGACAAACTTCCTTTTAAGAATTAGTTATGAGCTCCAGAAACTGCACTGTAGCAGTAGAGCATCTAGGTACCAGTAGATGAAGACGTCATCTCCATGTAGTGGAGATTAAAGACAAGTAATTTGTTAAATTCTCAGCAATTCTTCACAAAATTGAAGCGAATCCTCCTTGGCCTCAACCTACGTATTTACTCATCATGGCTGGACAACATTTAGAAAATGGCCACAGCTGTAGCCCGAGACTTTCCTTCATGTCCACAGCTACCAGGCTTAAGTTTATTCGCGCAGTCCCCCTGGCAAATCCAACTGCAGACAATTGCAAATCTGTGCAGCTCTTGCAAGCTGCAACAAGTCAACAATAGCTGTTCTTACACTGCCTTCCACTTAACAAAGGCAAGCGCTGCTGCTGCATCTGCTAGGGGTTTATCTAACAAGCTTCAGCTCGTCTCCTCTATAATAAGTAAGTTTAATCAACTCTCCTCTCTGTCTTTTCCATCGTTTGAAACATGTAGTCATTGAAGTACTTCTGCCTAATCAATCTTTCAGTCATTTGGTATTGTTAACCTCACGTTTTTCACCTGTCTGTGAAAGGAAGCAGAGCCTTCCAAGTTGGGGAGTCATGCAGCAGCACGCAGCACAGGAACGGTAAGGAGGAAGGTCGTCCTTTCTTCATTCAGCGTCATCGTCACACTTCACCCAGCTCTACCCCACATCAGGATGTGGCGTATTGCCAACGCCATGCACACACACACACACACACACACACACACACACACGAACACACACACACACATGAGCCTCTCCTGTGCACAGGAGCAAGAAGCACCTTCAGCTCTGGAGCCTACGTGCAGAACTTGCTTTGCATGTGAATGGGGCCACCTCTTTTGTACTGCAGTGCTTGTTCTGGCAAAATTGAGGCTGATGCTGGAGCATGATGGATGGCCTTTCACATACACATAGGTGGGAGTTAGTCATTATGCATATTTTAAGCCTATTATCAAATTTAATAATTTGGCATATTCATTATGAGCCAAGATTTTCCTTTAGATGTGGCTTAGAAGAAAGTACCAATTCATGCACCTGCACTACAAGAGGAACCAAAAACGTCAGCTTCCGCAGAAGTTCAGTTCATATCGGTTTTGTGTGAGCAAAAAGAAACAGAACTCGTAGCTGCTGCTACTCCGACTGCAATGTCAGTCATTCCTGTGCACATCCAGCTTTGCATCCCAATCACATTATTAATTCTGGTTCCAATATAGATGACACTTACATAATCCAGAAAGACTTAGACATAGTTCAGGCAGAGACATCCTAAGGTGCTACAGGCACAACATATGGAAACAACTGTATTCTAAGCATTAAAGACTGATGGCTGTAATATAGCTGTGCAAAAGAGTGGTTTATATTCCTAGACACCTGTAAGTAATATTGCAGGAATGTGATAAAGACGTTAGGAAAGAAGTTTATCACTGAAGTTTGGTCAGCTTTTGCATTATACATGTTTTTAATTCAAAAATCATAATTTAGTTATAACTTTCTTGGAGTCTAAATACAGTTCCATTTAAAAAACATTGTTTAAAAGAACAATTGAACTTGCATTCACATTTGAATGTTTGGGGGTTTTGAACTCAAAAGATAGTTTCAACTTAAATTGCCATGCCGTCAGCCTTTTGTCCCCATAGCGAACAAATGCTGGGCAATAAAATAATTTTTTGTTTGTTTAAAAAAACCTTTTTGCTGTATGCAACAGGGCTATTACAGTTCATGTGTCTCAAGACAGATTTACAGTCAGAAGTGATGAGCAAAACTACCAGATTGGTAAGAGGAGGAGGGCACAGTGAGGGGAGGTTTTGCCAACGTGCCACTTGCAAGTGCTTGCGAATGAGTAAAATCTGATGCAGTAGGGGACCATATGTGCTCCTGGTATTTGTTGCTGTGGGTGTGAGCTTGCTGGGCCATGCACAGGACTGCTGCTCATAGCTAGCAACAGCTTTTTTTGGAAGTTTATTTAATACTTAATAGCATGTTATACAAATACCCAAAAATGTGTATACAACAGACTATCAGAGTGATCCTGAAATTAGAAGCATTTAAAAAATATCCTTATGTATATATGTATCTACTTCTTGCCACTGAAGGCAGCTTGCTTTCTCCTGATGCATCCCTCTTCTCACAGCCACGGTCCATCTATGCATGGCAATGCATGCTCATCACTGCCAGCTGAGCTGTGAGTGCTATCACTGAGACTGGTTTACAGGAGCGCAGTAAGATAAAGCACTCACACAAATAAATAACTAGGAGCCTGGCACATGAGATGAAAAATAAATTATAATGACTTGAAATTCAATAAAGGTAGAGAGTTTATGGCTGACAACATAATTGAAAACTGGATTATAACTAAACCTAGTCATAAATAAAGACCTAGATATTTGGAAAGCAGAGGTCAGAATTTTCAGATTAATGTAAATCTATATTCAGGTACTTACATGAAACATTTGGTTTCAAACTTAAGGAAACAACAATTCATACAGAAGCTCTGTGCACTTGGAAAGTCATGGAAGCTGAAGCTGCAGCCAAACACAAGCTCCTCTCTAAGGCATCTACATATGACTTCAGTAATCAGGTGTTAACCAACACTGAAAATATTGCACATTAATTGCCTAAATACCTCTAAAAAGTGATTATCCTAGACACTGGAGGATCACCTGGCTGCTTTTTATTTTACTGCCTTTTCAGGAGACATAGAGAATATTGTAGGGCAGGTTACTCTGAAGTTTCCTGGAGCCACAGGTAGATACTTCAGTTAGCGTAGGTAGATATTAAACCAGGAAGAGCATGAAGTAAATTGATTACTAAGCTAAAATCTCCTAAAAACAGTGACAGCAAAGTTTTCTCAGACTTTCATTTTAGATCTGGTCATTCTCACTGTAAGTAACCACTGCTGTTCAGACACATAAAAGGAAATATTTTGTACAGTTGTACTCCCTGTAATGTCTTTAACTGTTCTATTTCTGCCTTTTTTTTCGCCAGGGCAGGGAAGTGGTGATGATTATAGGCTGCGTGGCGCTACATTACAAGAGGTGGGATTTCATTGCATCTGCTGAAATTTTGTTTAGGATGCACTGGGAGCTCTAATCATTGCACAGTACTGGAAAGTCGTAGGCACACACTTCATGAATTAAACCTACCTCCAGGAATTCAGTGTTATCACCTCTTTCTCTGTGCAACACGACAGGGATAACTGTCATTAAACCCTACTACGGTGACTTTGGAAGCATCAGATGGAAGAGAATAGACAAGGAGCCGCTCTCCCATTTCCCCCAGGTCTTGATAGCCAGGCTGTGCA